TGGATGGATGGATGGTTGGATGGGTGAATGGATGGAGGGGTGGTGGATGGATGGATGGATGGATGGATGGTTGGATGGTTGGATGGATGGATGGGTAGATGGGTAGATGGGTGGATGATGGATAGGTGGATGGGTGGGTGGATGGATGGATAGATGGATGAATGAATGGTTGGATGGATGGATGGATGGATGACTGGATAGATGGACAGATAGATGGTGGGACGGATGGATGGATGGATGGATGGATGGATAGATGCGTGGACGATGGATAGGTGGATTGTGGGTGGATGGATAGATAGATGGATGAATGAATGGTTGGATGGATGGATGGATGGATGGGTGAATTTTTACATTCATTGTTAATAGAATTGTAGTATACAACGTCTCATGACATTCTGCACACTTTTACTCGTAAGAATTGAAAGTTTCAACATTTTGAGTCCTTCAACAATCAGTTAAAAATTTTCAACCCCCACACTGTGCCAGACACTGGGGTACAACAGCGAACGACACCCTAACCAGCCCCTGCCCTGGGGCGTCGACCATCTGCACCATACCCAGAGTGATCTAATTTTCCTGGGAAGTAAGGCGAATTTTCTCTGCTCACACGTAAAGGCCTGAGATCGAGTGACTGTTTATTGAGCACTTACCACGTGCCAGGCTCTGGGCTGAAATGCCTGACCAGCATCCCAGCAGCACTGAATCCTTACAACAACTCTATGAGGTGGACAAAATTACGTGTGCCATTGTGCAGATCTCAAGACTGAGGCTCAGAAAGGCAGAGCTGTTTGCCCGGGACTGCAGGGGTCACTGTGTGCTGAAACGCGGTCGAGGCGGGATCGAAATCCAACCAGACCACCTGCCAGTCAAAGCTTGCAACCAGGGACGCACGCGGTTCATCTGGACGCTGCCGTTGCTCAGGTGTGATTGTCCTCACTTCAGAACCTCTGGCAAATCAAACTCATTGTAATACAAGCCATTAAGCCATCGGCTGGCACCGAGGAGCAGACGCCCCCCCCACCTTAGATGAGGGACACATCTCCCGTCATCCCTCTTCTGTGTGGCCCGGAGACTCCACGTTTGTGAGGTCGGCCGAATTCTACTCTGCTGCGTGCCGTAACGCTAAATTAGACATGTACCAAGCCCCTTAATGTATATGAGAGTCGTGAGAAGGCAAGCAGAAACTAGATCAGTGACTTTAGCCGGTGTTTCAATTTCCTTTATCGCAGAACCCACTGGAAACATATGGGGAGGTGAACAGGTCACTCAGAAAAGCCTACACAGGGATGGGGAAGCAGCACGAGCCAAGGCAAGTGTGAGGGTGCAGGGTGTCTCATCCGGCCCAGCTGTCGAAGGCAGGAGCTTGAGTTCTAGTTCTCTCTATGCATCGCCCCATCCCAAAGTCTGAGAGCAGAGAACCCGGTTGTCTTAGTCGAGTTGGTGCCCAGCCCTTGGCCATGGGAGGGCTGGGCGCTCCACAGAGACAGCATCATCCGGACCAGAAGACAGAAACGGGGCGGGGGAGGGGGGGTCATCCCCCTCCACCTCCCCTAACATCCCACTTTTTAAGGGACACCCAACGATGGCCGGAACCCGACTCAGAAAATGCTGAGGTATGTTCTACAGTGCGTGTGCAAGAAACAGGACTGCCGATCTCCCGGCCAACAGACGGTGCAGCGTCTCGGCCAGCCACTCGGAAGTCCCCGAGGATCTCAGTCCCCTCGCTAACGCAGAGAGATTATGGAGGCAAGGACAGCTTTTCATTTTATTTGTATTTGTCCTTTTTAAGCAATTTAAAATTTTTGAAAATCTTTATGTCTTTTCGAGACAGAGCGAGAGACAGAGCACGAGCAGGGGAGGGGCAGAGAGAGAGACGCAACACAGAATCGGAAGCCGGCTCCGGGCTCCGAGCTGGCAGCACGGAGCCCGACGCGGGGCTTGAACTCACGGAGCGCGAGATCGTGACCTGAGCACAAGTCAGCGCCCAGCCAGCTGAGCCACCCAGGCGCCCCAGGGACGGCTTTTTGGAGCCCCGAAGTCTTTCTGAAGACCCTCGCTTTGACTGGCACGTCTGAACTGAACAAAAACGACAAGATAGTCTTTCCTGACTGCTTTACTTCCACCTCTGCCCGGCGCCCCGTTACAGGCAGATTCAGAACTGCTTTGGGGGATGTTCCAGGCAGATCGCCAGCTTACAAAGGAGAGTTTCCCGCCGTCTTCGCCCCCCGTGTGCCTCGATGGCTCCGCTGGCCATGCATCGCTGCCAACATCGTCAGGGAACCAGTCAGCTGCTCCCAACGAGCCACAGGCAGAGAAGAAACACCGCTCCGAGCCAGCACAGCTCCCCTGTTCCCACAGGCTCCTGGGGCCCTCGCGGGAGGCGTCCACACCACAGCACGGAAGTCGCAAACCTGGGGCGGGGGGGGGGGGGGTGTGACTCTGCTGGACGCCGCTGTTTGCAAGAAAACGCGACCAGATATCTGGAGAGGCCCTCACGGACAGGAAAACACCACGAGGAGTCACTTAGGGCCATAGGATCAGGCCTTCGAACGGTGAACGCCTTGCCAAACGATACTGAACGTTCATCTTACAGGCCGTGACACCCTGCGCCAGATGTTACAGGGAGCGTTGACTCATCCGTGAATCAGCGGGAACGCACCGACTCCCCGCCCCCAAGCCACAGGCTGCAGTCTGTTCCAGGCCGGCTTGGCAGGGCCAAAGTCGTCTTCGAAGGCACTGGGGCAGGAGAGCCTTGGCGAGGCGGGGAGAGCGGGACGCGGACACGGGCTTTGCTTCTGCCCCGACGGTCCGGGCACGAGGCGGGCCCGGACGAAGCAACGGAGACGTCACTCTGCAACCAAGTCTGGAGGGAAAGGTGGGCGACTGGCCATTTCCGGCCAGCACCTCGAGCATCTTATCAGAGCACAGCGGTTCTCACGCAGAGGAGGAACCAGAGAAGCCCTCGGTGACGTGGCATTTACCCTGAACACGCTGGCCTCCTGGAGCCGGCCCAGGCGTGAGCAGAGGCCAAAAAGGCTCAGGGTGAAAGCCACCCTCCCCGCCCCCACCCCCGCCCCCGCCCCGGCGCTTTCCTCCCGTCAGTTCACTGGGGCTCCCGATGGTAAGAGTGGTGTTCCCATTTTACAGATGAGGACGGTGAGCTCCAGAGAGGCGAAGCCAACTGTCCATCCGAGTGACCTGGTAAGTGACAGGACCGGGCACAGCATCGGAAGTCTGAGCACACGAGCCCTGGCACGTCCTTAAATCACCCTCTCACCAGAGGACAAGAGACACGGGAGGTGGTCGGATGCTGCGTTCACACACGTTCCCATCACAGCACAGCAGCGGAGCAGAGAAAATACTAGACGGGTATGAGGTCTGGGTGGGGGGGAAGGGAGGAGAGTAGGTCCAGCCAGCCGATCCCTGGGCCTCAGTCTCCTCTTCTGTCAAATGGGGATAACGCGACCTTCTTCGGCGACGGGGAGACCCAAGTGAAGACCAGCTCAGCACCAGACTCTCAAGGCTCCGCGGGGCCTCCCTGGGCTTATGTGAGCCATGCAGGGGCTGGTTCCCTGCGAGACCGCGGAACTCAACCTGCCTTGGCCCCAGACGTTCCGTGACTTCCCAAGAGCCACAAGTCAACAGACCACGTATCCATTCAAAGAATGTTCACTTGGGACTCCAAAGTGCATCAGGCAACTGCATTAGCATGTTCACAGTTGTAGGTTTTCTGCAAATAGGGCCACCGGCAACTCCTCCCACCGTTGCCCCCACATGGAGCTCCCCCGTAAGTCAGTGGGGTCTGTTTCCCACCTCTGAAGTCTGGGCCGACTTTGCCACTTGCTGTGACCGGTGGGACCCAGTGGAAGCGAGGCCCGGCTAGGCTGGGGACTAAAATGTAAGGGGCTCAGCAGCTCTGGCTTTGCTCTCTGGGAAGCTCGCCACTGGATCAAGAAATCTGGCTGCTGTGCTGGAAAGAGGGACCACGTGGAAGGGGGCAGAAGCCATGGGGGAAGAGGGTCTGGAAAAGAG